AATATCCTTTCGTTACATTAGTTTCATGTGCCTGAGTAAGGTTTTAAGGAAAAACGATACCCCCCCCCGTAGTTGTTAAGTGATGTCGTGAAAATCAACACAAACTGCGCCATCTAATAATGCTAAACTGACATACCAAACAGTCAGGGTTACCATAGCTTTTTCAATACCTCATATCTGCCCCTTCGTTTTTTTAACTAAACGTTTTTTTGGTTAGGACTCTATTCTTCATCTCTGTTCAAAGTCAACGAATGACTAATGCGCTGGCTGATCAAATGGGAAATAAGGCGCTACATAGATCACCTAATCGTGAATGTGTGGGTTAAAGAGAAGAGCAGCGATACGCTCTTGACAGATGACAGAATTTAGAACACGTTCGCACGAGAGGAATTATGAAAAATGAATATGAGCATAGTGTTCAATAGCGGAAGTGCAATGGAGACTGAGTTACTAACGGTGACAAACTTGCCTTTCCGTTGCCTTCGACTTGGAGAGCAGCTGTCAAGTTTCCAGCCGGTGGTAATCCGTTGACTACGCCGAGCCCGTTAAAAAGCTGCTGAGTTATTTTGGACTTTGGCACAGTTTTTAGGCATTTTATTAATCAAAAACTTGGTGACTTGTTTGGTTACATAGCAAAATGGTTGGTTTCTATGGACGAATAATACGAGATATTGAAGCACTGTAGAAGAGATCGACATGTGGCATGATCAAGCTGGAGTAAATCAAAGGAGAAAGAGGGCCGGTTGGCGCACATTTAAGACCATCACGCAAACCCCAGGAAAGAAACCCATACCCACTTCTTCGATTCTACGATTCTGCCATCAGTATTGCATGGCTGTGAAACGTGGCCATTGATTAAAACTGAAGAGCGCCAGCTATTTGTCACTGAAAGCGCCACGGAAAGCAGAACGGTGGGGAATCTCGTGTTCAGACAATATCTCCAAGCTCGGAGAAGGACGCAGTCGTCGAAAGCAGAAAAGACAATCCACAGTGGGCGGGCTACGCAGCTCGGCTCACTATTTGGAGATCGTCGACTGGTAACCTCGCGGCCAGACTAGGCCACCCGGTCCCTCATCGCGACGGTGAGAAGGTTATAAGATTATATTATGAGCCGATGAGGTCGCGCATGGAGGGAGAAGGCTCAAAACAGTGAAGAATGGCGGGCCCGTGCGGCCAACGCAATTCGATTCGCCAAGCCAATTACTAGCCGGTCAAAATGATCCAAGCGAAGTGACAGTAGTATTGATTTCAGAAAAGTTCGAACCCGTTCTTTTGTAACCCAGTGAACAACGGCGCGACAGGATAATCCTTCCGGTACAGTACTCGACAAACTGCATCGATCCGATCTTCCACTTTGGTCATTCCGCAACAGATGGCCTTACACCTAAAACAGGGAGTAAACTTTGGTACCGTAGCGGTCGATGTCGCTGATGTAACAAAATAGACGAGTTTTATCATCATGTCAAGAATATCATATATGCAAATGGTTTAATAATGACAATTTGCGTACTATGCTCCCACCTGCGCTGCTGAATGTTTATGACTCGTGACTATTGGCAGTAATTAGCAGCAATGAGCCTCCACCTTTACATAATCCGTTATTTTCAGCTTTTCAGAAACTTTCCACCATGTAAGGAGCTGCATCATGAAGAGAACATTTCTCACTGAGTGCAGAAAGCTGTATATAGGAGGTAGTTTATTTACGCGGCATTTCTTTCTACGGCTAATCATGGCTAAAACAATACCTGTGTTACGATATTCTCCCACCGTTTTTTGGCATGTAATTATGAAACAATTTTTCATGCCATTTAACAGCTATGAACAAAGTAAGGAATAAACTTCATTAAATCAAAATCTTAGTACTTACGAAGGTGAAAATATTCAAGCCAATTTACCGTCTTGTGTTGGCCTGTGGCCAAGACTCAAGGCTGGCGATTAAAACCCGATGTTGTGTGCAAGCTGTAGAAGTGAGCTTCCAGAAGAAAATTTGGCTTCCAAGGAATCTCGACAGAGTTTGCAGAACAGCGATTCAGAAAGTCCATAGAACCGGATTGTAGGGGTCGCAACCGCAAAGGTTTTAAAGGTTTTACGGAATGATGACAAAGCTCTTATTGCCTGCTCGACTAAGAGGAAAGAATTATTGAATTAGCACCTGATTCACTTAACGTAATTTCGACAATAAATTCTGCTTCAGACTTAAGATATCTCTTGAAAGCCTAAATAATAGCACAAGAAAGTCATTTCGGTGACTTTCTCTGTCTTTACCAACCCTGACAGCTGAAAAAAGAAGCAGGATTTTAAACTCACTACTTTCTGCTTTGTCTGTAGAGTTCTTGCATTAACTACCAGAAGGAGTAGAGGTATCGTATAGAGAAGGTTTCCAGATGACTCAGCAGTTGGTTTAGAATAAACGGTTACAAACAAAAGTACGAAATAAGCATCTTTTCTGAATAATAATCTAAATAATTTATGTTGAGTCTTTGAGAGACCAGGATATATAAATGCAGAAAATGCGCAGTTACTATGAATGATTCCAGAAGAAGGTCCGCAATACACTTGCATCGCAAGGAGTCAAGCCCTTTTGCTGGGTCACGCTTGATGTAGCAACCCCACAACAGCTTTATACCTTACAGAGCTTAGCAGGAGAATAGAAGGTTTGGTGTAATTATCCCCATATTGCAAGAGGACAGGCAACTGATTGCTCCAACGATTGGAATATTTTCCCATTTCCCCCGGATTATCCTGGAAATGCTGATAGAAGAGCTTATAGAAGACCGCACCAAAATCAAGCAAGCGTTGTCCAAATCTTAAGTCTTCGTATAATCATTAAGCAGTGGCGACGATCACAGTCTCCTCGGTTTGCCATTTTCCTCGACTTTAATCTTGACTTCGCTTTATCTGATTCAGTGCATCGTTCAACGATGCAAAGAACCTTAAAATGCTATGGAATATCTG